TCGGTCCGGCAGACAATCGTAGCCGCTTAGATGTTAGTGAATAGTTCCAAAATCGGCAGCTTCTGCGGTCTTACAGAATTGCTGCGGGGTAGAACTTCTCCTGATTTTGATTGGTGAATGTCACATACCTGTGCTTGTATATATGTACTAAGCTCAGAATTATATATTTTAACTGTCATATGAAAGGTTTAGTGTACAAGCCGTAAATCATATTATTCCTGACCTCCGGAAATCGAACATTTCTCGCCTAATCGAAAGAGATGCGCCATACTAACGTAAGCAAAAACATCATAATATAAAGCGCTAAATTTCGGTTCGTGACAGCTATCTCAGTATTGCACATTCAAGATAATTTGGTGCTGGTTAATTTAGCTTAAGCATTTGCACCGATTTCGCCTTCCGTTAAGAATGGCTGGTGGAGAATTAAAATCTGCTAAAAATCACCCCAAAATCCCCTAGATCTTGGAACAAAACATTGTCGTGATTCTCGCTGGTAGTATTATCAACTATAACAACAACACCAGATCTGTCAGCATTGGTGTCCACGCAACATTACAGCTGAGCCAGCTCCTTTTCTCGTGCTATACAACTGTCGTGTCGGAACACGCCAGAAATGTACTAGCACACTTCCACACTAACAAGACCTACTAAGTTCCGATAACTTAGTTAGACTTTATGTGGGTATTGAACCTAAAGGCCCAGAAATTACCCTACCAGGATGGGATGTTCCCTGTGCACCGTGTATCCCGCTGGCAAACCACTGAAAACCCAACACGACTAGCCATGAGCAAAGGCTAGAGTGGTCTTCTCTCTCTCTCTCTTTCAAATGTACCCTGCGGCTCCTATAAAGATAGGGTACCGGACGTGTTCAGGCCTGACACGGGGCTGTCAGAGTTATACTCCGAACAATAAGTAATAAATGGATAGCGCTCTAGCTTATCCAGCACACAGAGATGTCTCGCTATCAAATATACGGTGAATCTACCTTCTGTCTCTTGGTCCTGTCGGGATAAACACTAAGCTACCACCCACCGACAGCCATATCCAGTCTACCAGAACTATCCCACCACTACTGCGTAATCAACGATAGTCGGACGTGCCCTTGTTTGGTCGAGAGTATATGGTGCTCTGTGCTTTGAGCACAAAAGCTCTTAATGTAGTATTTAATTCCTACTATCAATCAATACAAATATTTAATCAAACCAATTCGTTTTGGATCTTCCAAAACCACAACCGACGACTCAGACCGGAACGCTGTAAGAGAACGATAAAATAAATGTTTTCCTTAAAGCTATAAGGTATAAGTTTCTATGTTGTTATGCTTCTTCGGCTTCACCTGTGAGGGGCAGGGAAATGTACGAGTGATATCCTAAGCGCAGCAAAACACCTCCTCATAACTACTTACTATGCGACAGTTTTAAATGGCCTTAAAGCTAAGGGGACTTGGGTACACGTCCTTCGACGGGACACCCTTCTCTCCTTGACGTGCTTCTTCCAAGGACAAGCCGCTTGCCCTCCGTCCGTGCACTTTGATTGAAAGCCACTCTTTATATTGCGTCTCACGCATCTCATCCCCTATCGTCATCATGGTAATCCTTCGAAGAGTCGCGCAGCGTTCTGAGGAGGGAAGTCGACACACTTACGCTCGGAAATTTTGGGGTGGAGTCGGGGTTGACGCTGGTCAACGAAGAGGCTACCGGACCCAGCGACCGCCAGCCTGGAACACCATTTGTATTCCTGAGTACGGGCCATGATGAGCCCTGATACAAGTTTCGTTCTTGAAAAAGGCTTCTTTGCCTTCTTAGAAATCTGGAGCTTCCCCGAGTGAAACATGCCATTAGTATTTCAGCTGCAAGATGACTACTAGATGTAGCACGTGATAAATTATTTTCTATTGCGTACCAGGGCCTGCGTATGCCATTTCCTCCGAGTAGGGGTGACTACTATATCGTTCACTGGCTGGTTTTTCGGCTGAGAATTCTTGCGCTTGTCAACAGCAAGTAGTCAGGGGTGCGAGTATTAAAGTGCGGGATATTGCGGCTCATAGACATCTACTGATTATATTTCTTGTCGAGACTTAGCCATTCCTGGACCCGGCCACGAGTGATACGTTCCTTCTGCAAATTATTTACAGCATCATCAAGGTTTTCGGGGCGCCCCTAAATTTTAAGGAATTCCACAAGTTTCAATTTCTCAGTAGCAGTGACGTCTTTGCTCCTAAGCCAAGCCAAAACTTTGTTGGTTGGTCCAATAAGCGTGGTGTGCAGAGTGCCGATCGCACCTTACCAGCGAGCGACGCCATCGGGGCTTTAGGTGCTTGTTGTAGTCGAACTCAAGACAGCGCGAGAAGGACTACGAGGGCCAGAAGCAGGTCATAACTAACTCAAACTGTTGGCTAGCTGGAACCTGTTCGACTCATTGTGGGTTTCGAGAAATGGCTAAGTGAAGATAATACGTAAAGCCTTTCTCCGTTTTGAGCTCGCGGGGACGGGGAGTCGAAAACGCTTGCACGGGGCACTGAGTGCAAGTTCCGGATTAGATTTGAGCACAATTTACTCGCTGGAAAGCTGTGGATAATGGTGATGACCTTTCGTGCTAATCTTCACGCCAAAGTGTTCACTGGTAGCTAGTACTGGTACCTGCATTAGCCATTAATCCTTAAAGAAGGTGTAAAATGGTCATGCTAAACATCAAATTGTGACGTATCGGTACATATTATTACTGTACGCCTATAGACATGTAGAAGTATGGTACCAAAATTGGGTACATTTCACGGAAGTTTACTGTAAGCTTACGGGGCGGAATTTAGTGACTAAAGATGACTAAAGGAGTGGGCACGAGAGGGTGAAGACGTCCTTCAAGCGCCAGGTAGCAATAGTCACTTTTCATCTTGCCAAACAATACACAAGCCTCAATCTGTTACATAGTAGCACTTGAAGAGTCCAAGCATCGACTTGTTTACCGCTACTTCGACCGTCGAGCCGAGACCTGCATCAAAATGAAAGAGACCAGCACGCCGCGGTCATTTGGAGAAGTCATCGCACTTCTCGCCCGCCAGCAAGCGAAATTTCAAGCAATTATGCTGCGTCGATACGCTGACAGAGAGTCACGCATCGACGCGCTCACATCGAGGCCAATAGCGGCCCGCAAATTTCAACCTCCAACGTACTACGGAGCAATAGACGAGGATCTCGAGCTTTGGGCTTTGCCATGGAACGAAATTACGCCGACTATCATCCTCAGATGACGGAGGAGTCGCCTCAATTTGTCACGATGATATCATGTCATCTGGGGGTGACTCCTATGAACTGGTATCGCGGATTTTCAGCGGAATGTGACGCGAGAGGAAACGTGAAGACCTGGGCTGTTTATAAAGCGGCCATGCGCAAGCGATTACTACCGCCTGACAGCAAGTATCGCTTACGGAAGCGACTGTATGCGCTAAGTCAGACCACGTCGCTTCGTGATTACGTGGCAGAGTTTCAAAAATTGCTCATCCAGTGCACGGTGAAATTCAGCCAGCTGTAGCTCCGTATGTACTTCCAACAAGGGTTAAAGCCGGCGACCGCATATCATTAGCGAGAACATCACCCGGCGATGCTCGATGAGACTATCCAACTAGCGCTTCGTTCGATCACGGAGACCAAAGAGCCGCTGCAACTGAAGAGGACTGGCAGAATTTAGCGATGTGTCATCGCTGCAAGAACGTCGGCCACATCGCTCCAAACTGCTCGACGGAATAAGCATTTTCTTTCAAAAGGAGGTCGTGTGACGTTTCGTACATATTATAACTGTACGCCTATGAACATGTAGAAGTATGGTATCAAAATTGGGTACATTTTAAGGTAAGTTTACTGTAAGCTTACGCTACGGAATTTAGTGACTAAATATGACTAAATGAGAGAGTGTAGACGTCCTTCAAGCACTAGGTAATAAAAGTCACTTTTTATTTTGCCAAAAAAATACACAAGCTTCCTCAATCTGTTACACAACTCGGTCAAAAATTTCGAGATATAATAAATTTGCGCACTCCTTCAGCTGTAGTTTTCTTTAGTACTATGCTCCGTCCGCCCTTGTAGGAAGCAAGTATACGCGATGCTACGGGTTTTTGCCGTGTAGTCAGACGCTGACTTCGGTTTTGCAAATTACATGTAACTTGTTGTGGGTAGACACTGCACGACGCTCTGATTAAAAAAATTCTGCGGCTTAGTTTTATATTATTGTGTCGCGCAGTGCCGTTCTAAATTACTTTATTCGAAATAAAAGTTTGGTATCGAAAGATACCGTTTAACCATCATCCATTAAGGAATAAAGAGAGGTAGTAGCCGTATCAAATCCAGAGCTGTGCCGTGCGAAAGCGTGGCTTTGTACTTGCACGATCGAAGAATTTGTTGATGAATCTAATGAATGCCTAATTTCAATTTGGTTTCAAGGTAATTTCGTTTTCATGACGGTTTTGCTTCTTAACGCCTCTTCATACACGAGTACCGTCGGGAGTAGCTTCGTCTACTGCTTATGTTGCCATGGCAGCAAGTCGTGGGAAGCCCAACAAGTCTCGATCGAGCTGGAACGAGTCGGTATGTCCCGATCGCCCATTTTCGGCCATGGGCAGCGCAGTGTTTCATCTGGAGTCGTCATCACCAGGGATGGCATCGTCGCACCGCCAGCCCCCCTTGACTGCAGGAGCCGCGCCAAACCGAAACAGTGGAGGCCTAGAAGAGGGTGAATTCGATGTCAGAAAATTCCTGCTGGATCAGAAAAGCACGCAGCCTTTTCACAAAAGTTCATTATTCCGCGTATCAACTTTCGCCAAGCAAGTGCCGTCGAATCAAACCTCCCACTCAAAGTTAAAAAAAGTCGTGTTGCCTTCGATGGAGCTAGCTCCTTCTAAATCTACTGGGAATCTACCTGGAGCTAAAGCAAAACAATCTCGAGCACCTAGAAACCAGTCGGGCGAAGATGACAATGTCTCGATTTCGCACTTTTACTCCATCGAGAAAATGTCCACCAGCTGCTTCCACGCGACGCAGAACAAGAACAAGACGTGGCTCTTTCTCCCTGGCTCTGACGAGCGGTCCAAAGCAAGCAAAGGAGCGGGTAAAACGAGCATCACTGGCATCGACAGGCCGTCTCGGAGAGTGGATGTACTGGACTTGGAGCGGTGTTTTGATACTGCCATCCAGTTTGCCAGCAAGAACAAGCACATGGACGTTGCTTGTGAAGAAAAATTGTCCATGCTTGACCAAGATTTCATGGCTACGTATGCTCGAGTCTCGCAGCGATACGGCTCAAGATTGTCTAGTGAAGGCTCTAGTGACAGTCACAAAATACTGACCAAATTACTATTTGAGCAGAAATGGTCCGATGTGGTCTTGGGCGAATTGGAGTCGATGCTTATGGTCTCGTTCCTCGAGCAGGGCGTCGTTCTCCGCAAGGCTCGTATCTCGTATGCCAAGGCCTTTTTCGAGCTGGAAACTCTCTACAAGAGTCAGTTGCACGACCTCATTCAAGAGAAGGAGGGGGTGGAACATCTTCGTGAACAAGTGCAAAAAACGAACGAGTCGCATCAGCGAGACGCTCAAAGTATGAAGGAGCAATACGAGACGGAGATTGACCAGCTAAAAACGACTTTTGAGAGCGAGAAGAGAGAGATGGAGCGGCGATTGGCTGACTCAAAAGAGCAAATGACGAAGATGGGCGACGCGATGAAGACGCTAAACGCAATTTTCCGACAAATGCGAGAGGATACCGAGAAGGTGAAAGCTGTGGAGCTGCGGGAGAACTACGGTAGACTCGAGCAGAAGTACGAACAGTGTCGAGAGGAGATTGAGCAGCTGCGTCCTGTGGTCCAAGAGAAGCAGCAGCTTCAGAGCAAGATTGACGACTTGATGCGAGATCGAGGCGCACTCAAGGACCAAATCACAGAATGGACCAATTTAGTGACTACGAAGGACTCCGTCATTGCGTCTCTAATGGAGCAGCATAGCAATCTGGTCGCAGCCCAAGAGCTGAAAGCTGCAAGGGAAGAGGAAATGCGTCGACAAGCAGAAGAAGAGAAGGAATACGAGCGAGAGGAGGCTCTGACTGTATCGGGAGACTCGAACACTCGAGCAAGTGGAGTCTGCGTTCGATGTAAGCAGGATCTACGTACAGTATCAGCGAATGGAGGCTTGACGGAGGGCGACAACGCACCGGAAACTACGAATTCTCCCGTGACTATGGAGCCAGAAGCGTTTAAACTGCCGAAGAAGAGACGTATCCAATGTCTGTACTTCCGCATTCTACTACCGAATCTCGGTGGTCGACGACCTCAACGTGATGTTTCCTGGACGCTCAGCTGTATGCGATCCATCATGTTCGCCAAGCAAATCGACGACTCCATGTGCAAACGCACGGCTGGTTTGTTCCCGCTACGGATCCGTATGCCTGAGTTTGTGTACGCGTGGTTTGCACCGTGGAAATCCTTGAAAGAGGAAAAATCTATTGCCGAAGAAGACCCAGTCGATGGAGCTGCAGATGTCGAAGCTCTTGATGATCCGAATGACTCAGACGCATTGCTGCATCGACAGATCCAAGCCAACGAGGACCGTTGGTGTTTGTACTACGGCGTACGAGCTCTAGTTCAACAAGGGTATCTCGAGGCAAAACTGTTTTTGTCCCTTCTAGACGAGAAATTTGGGGAGGACGAACAAGTGTTCATGCTTCATTGCTACCAAGTGTTGGACGTTCTACTCGAGGGGCGTCTGAATTGGGGTCCAGTACGTGACTTAGTGTCGTTCGAAGTGTTTGCTCGAGAGTATGCCGCGCTCTTCAATGAAGGTTCAGGGGGAGATGAGACCGTAGCGCCACCGCGTGTGCGAGTTCCGAAGACCATCTGGATCTCGCCGTATCATGCCTCCCTCGCTACCAGTGTGATCCTCTCCAAGGCGACCGAAACAGAGCGGGAAGCACTTGACAAGAAGATTTTAGAGTACGTGGTTACCAACGTTCCTGACGACGAGAGACCTGAAATTTACCTGGAGTCTAAGACGAAGACACAGCAAGACGAAGAGCAGGCCAGGAAAAGACCCAAATCTGGTCCACGCGGCGGGATAAATGACGAGATTCTTGATGGTATTTTACACGAGCCGCAGCACTTTGTGGATGCGAATCTGTGGGTGGAACTCATGATGCTCGAGTACAAGGAAGAGCAAGCTCATCGTTGTGCTGCCATCCGTCTTATGTTCCAGACGGCGACGTCAGCTGCAGCAGCAGCCTCTGGCTCGGTAGCGGAGATGTCGCTGTCTGCAATGTTAGGCATCAATTACGCATCCATGGACATGGAGCAGTTCCGGGCTACGGTCCACACGCTAAACGACGAGATCCCGTCGTTCATGGTGGCCACTCTGTTCCGGAACGCGTATACTCGCGGCAACGGGACTGTCAACTTCGATTCGTTCATGGAAGCTGCAGAGACGGCGCAGTTTTTCTCGACGTGTATGCGACTGGAGAGCCCCAGCTCCGTTGTGTCGAGACTATTTGGCCATCCATTCTCTCGCTCTCCAGTGCTCATGACACCAAGCTCTCGAGCTGCGTTTATTGTGAGCAGGTTCTTCGCGATCCTAGGGGATGAAATCAGCAGCACCATTGAAGAATTGCCCCTCTGGACACGCAGTATGACCGACTCGCTCGCGTACGAGATTTCGTCAATACTGCTTGAAGGGGGTTATAGTGACGGCATCCGGCTGCTGACGCTGTTCCAGAGACTCATCGACAACCTCGGGGTGGCCAAGTTAATACGACGAGAGACTACGGGCTGTCTGTTCAGCTCCAGTGATCTCTGCAACATTGAGAAGGCTTTGACGGGGCTTCTGGACTTCGCTCGCCAACGAGAAAAATCATCGTACGTCTACAGGGGAAAGGCTTGTACTGTACCTTGTATGAGAATTCTTACTTGTGTGTTGTTGCGTGTTTCTTAGAGTGGAGCTATTGATCGAGGCTGTAAGGCAGAAACTGAGTGTGAGGCGTGTACAAATGAAGTTCCGGAGGCGATTGAAACAGGATCAGGGTGCGCCATTAGTCATGCGAACGCTAATGCATCGACGTTACGGCAGTGGTCCCTTAAATTACAGGCAGCGGAGAGCAGAACGACCGGTGATCTGGTTACGGCTGGTGATTTCCTCAATTGTGCGCCAGTCGATGCAGTCCACGCGGATATCTGCCGTCCTGGGAGAGCTGAGCAGTATCAGCGGGGCTTTCCACGCGGGGCGGTCGTCACCGCTGCAGCTGACCGTCTCGAGCTCTCTAAACGGAGGAATCGGCCCCACGCCAAAGCCCGTTTTCGTGGAGCTCATTTACGACTTTTTCCTCGAGAAACTCGGTGCTCGGTGTGAGGCTGAACGCATGATCCACGACGTGTTTGCTACTTGCAGGCCTCTTGTACGAACGGACCCGCTGGCTGTTGTGTTTAGCCACCTCTGTTGCATGAGTAACTCGTGTTCTGAGGATAGACTTCTGGGTCAAAACGAAGCGCTGGCCTTCCTGCACGCGATTTTCCGCTGTGGACTGCACACGTTTCGTATCATCAACCCTTGTAGTGGCGTCTCCAGCGAGGTATCCCAAGAAGACCCGGGTATAACTACCGGGGATGATAGAGCAGACTTCGTGGAGATTGACGTGGTGGAAAACATCCTGCAGACGGCGTTCTCGAAGCTTAGTTCCGACCAGAAGACGAGACTGAAACTACGAATCGCCGACGCTGCTACTGATAAAAAGGCGATAGAAATGGAGGCCAGCGCTTTCCTTGTGTTGGCACTCAACGAGTGGAGACGCTACATCCTGCACCGACTGAATGAAATTCGAGTGGCTTGCTGCGAAGTTGAAGCGGAACTGGTCCAATTTGAAGAAGTATTGCAGCTTGAAACGCTGGCGACTATATTGCAGAAGACAGACATCACATTTAGCTCTGAGGATCTGTGCACCATCATGCGTCGACTGTATATCACAGAAAAGGCCCCAGCGAAGTCCAGTGACGTCGATAGTGGAGATGCTGCCAATTCGACATTAAAACCTGACCCCTTGAGCGACCGCATCGCCGCTGCGTGCTTCCCACTTGTCGCGAAGGAGACGATGAGTGGACTACATAGACTTGCACCAAGACGCTTCGATATCAAGCCGAGTCCTCTGCAAAGCTACGAGCTCCTGGTCAGTACGTGGAAAGATTACCAGGAAACCTGTCGAGAGTTGCTGGATGAACTCACGGAGTACGGTAAATCTAACGATACTCAAGCCACGACGCAGCAATGTTCCCCAATGAAGATTGCGGGTGAAGACGGTGGTGGACTTCATTACTTAAGCTCGTCCACCTCAGTGTCCAGTCACGATGTGGAACAGCTCGAGGTTGTGCACTTACGTTTCATCGAGAGGCTTCAGCACCTCACCGAGCTTTTTGATAACAAAAAGAATTATCCTCGTGACGCATCGTTGAATCTGATAGAAGCGCAAGTGAACGAGACGTGGAGCATTTTCCGACAAATGTTTGTCGGATTCGTCAAGCTGCGAGCCACTGCAGGTCTTGGGGACGGGCCACTGCCCGATCAGTGGGATCGTCACAGCAAATAGATGCTTGATTACGAAGTGGTGTATTAGAATTAATATCATTTCTTATCTTGCTTTCGCGTAGTAGACTGTGTTAGGAATAGTATTCCGATGGTTTCTGCTATTACTTTGAGCACCACTATGCATTACGGTTCCAGTTAAGTCGGGCTTGGTGTCGGAGTTGGTGTCGGGGCCGTGAGTTTGGTCATGTCGACAGAATGCCAACTTGGCGAGGTGCCAGCGCAAATGTAAAGTGTTGTGTTGTCGAACCACAGCTCTCCAGCTTTGCACACGGTGTCGTATGCTGGTGAAGTCTCACTACTGGCAATGCTAAGCGTCTTGCTGGGCAGCGTCACTTGAGTGGAGACGCCAGAGAAATCAACGGCAGCTCCTTTAAAGTATGTTTTCAGTCCCAAGAAGGAGACCTCAGTTGCACTTGAGAAGTCAACTGCAGCACCTTTGAACTTCACTTGGTCTGATGAGAACCCGACAGTCGTTGGCGTTGATGAGCCTGCAGGAGCGCTTAAGAAGTCAGCGCTCGACATCGAGACTTTCGTGCTGTCGGAAAAGCCTACACTCGGTCCCGAGAAGTCGACACGCTGGCCAGAGAAGCTCACTTGGGCTCCCGATAAACTTACGTGGGCTCCCGACAACGTGACAACAGGGGCAGGCACAAGCAGATTCGGTGTTGATATCGTCAAAGAAGTTGCGCCGGTATGCTTGATATTTGCCTCATCGCTTCGCAAGTTGAGTGGCCCCAACAAGCTCGTGTCTCCAGTACTAACAGAAACCTCCAGTACAGTCCCAGTCGCACTGGTCACAGCAAAGTCATCGCGCTGAACTGTAAGGGGTCCGCCAGCAACATTGACAAATTTTCCTGTCAACGTCACAGTTTCCGTCGCTTTGACATCCATATTCGACTTTGAGTTCAGACTCATGGCCATCACATTATCCACCTTAAACAGACTCTTTGCCACGGACAACAAAGCTGTTCCACTTGGGTACTCAACCCGAAAAGCCCCATGCGCCGTGTCGGTCGATCCCGAACCAGGCGTCAACACGATAGAGCCACCGGAGCCACCGCTAGCCACATTCGTGCCGGCTTTCAATTTGATTCCACCACCTGTGCCTCCTCCTAGCCCAGACTCACCCACGGTAACCTCGAAACTGCCTGACGTACCACCGGTAGCTCTACCTGTGAGGAATGCAACCTTGCCGCTGTTGCCGGTGCCCGTACCTACGCCACTATTGAATTCCAGATTGCCGGTATTTGAATTGGTCTTAGCAGTAGACGACTGGATCACCACAGATCCGCTGTTGCCGCCCTCATTGCTGCCACTAGCAATCCGAACAGCACCGCCACTGATCGTGTCACTATTGCCGGCACCTCCCGTAATGGTGACATCCGCTCCTGTAGTTCCACCGCCGCCAACGACAGACACAGCACCACCTGTAGTTGTGTTAGAACCGCCTCCTCCACTAATGCTAACCTCACCTCCTGTGGTCCCACCACCACCCACAACAGACACCACACCACCCGTGCCGGTGGACAGTGAGCTTGCGCCCGCCGTCACTTTGACAGCCCCACCAACATTCGCGCTACTAGTGTCCACAGTCATGCTGATACTGCCAGCGTTCAAATCCATCTTCGAAAGTGAGGTCAGGGTCATTGCTTGCGAGCTCACCGACATTGCCTGCGAGTTCAAACTCATGGCTTTCACATTGTCCACCATGAACGAATCCTTCGCCACGGATAGGAGTGCTGCTCCACTTGGGTACTCAACGCGGAAGGCCCCATGCGCAGTGTCAGACGATCCCGTGCCCGGAGTCGCAATGATCGAGCCACCAGAGCCACCGCTAGCGGTATTCGTGCCGGCTTTCAATTTGATTCCACCACCTGTGCCTCCTCCTAGCCCAGACTCACCCACGGTAACCTCGAAACTGCCTGACGTGCCTCCGGTAGCTGTACCTGTGGAGAATGCAACCTTGCCGCTGTTGCCGGTACCCGTACCTAAGCCACTTTTGAATTCCAGATTGCCGGTATTTGAATTGGTCTTAGCAGTAGACGACTGGATCACCACAGATCCGCTGTTGCCGCCCTCATTGCTGCCACTAGCAATCCGAACAGCACCGCCACTGACCGTGTCACTATTGCCGGCACCTCCCGTAATGGTGACATCCGCTCCTGTGGTTCCACCGCCGCCAACGACAGACACAGCCTCCACCAGTAGTTACGTTAGAACCCCCTCCTCCACTAATGCTAACCTCACCTCCTGTGGTCCCACCACCAACCACAACAGACACCACACCACCCGTGGCGGTGGACAGTGAGCTTGCGCCCGCCGTCACTTTGACAGCCCCACCAACATTCGCGCTACTAGTGTCCACAGTCATGCTGATACTGCCAGCGTTCAAATCCATCTTCGAAAGTGAGGTCAGGGTCATTGCCTGCGAGCTCACCGACATTGCCTGCGAGTTCAAACTCATGGCTTTCACATTGTCCACCATGAACGAATCCTTCGCCACGGATAGGAGTGCTGCTCCACTTGGGTACTCAACGCGGAAGGCCCCATGCGCAGTGTCAGACGATCCCGTGCCCGGAGTCGCAATGATCGAGCCACCAGAGCCACCGCTAGCGGTATTCGTGCCGGCTTTCAATTTGATTCCACCACCTGTGCCTCCTCCTAGCCCAGACTCACCCACGGTAACCTCGAAACTGCCTGACGTGCCTCCGGTAGCTGTACCTGTGGAGAATGCAAACCTTGCCGCTGTTGCCGGTACCCGTACCTAAGCCACTATTTGAATTCCAGATTGCCGGTATTTGAATTGGTCTTAGCAGTAGACGACTGGATCACCACAGATCCGCTGTTGCCGCCCTCATTGCTGCCACTAGCAATCCGAACAGCACCGCCACTGATCGTGTCACTATTGCCGGCACCTCCCGTAATGGTGACATCCGCTCCTGTGGTTCCACCGCCGCCAACGACAGACACAGCACCACCTGTAGTTGTGTTAGAACCGCCTCCTCCACTAATGCTAACCTCACCTCCTGTGGTCCCACCACCACCCACAACAGACACCACACCACCCGTGCCGGTGGACAGTGAGCTTGCGCCCGCCGTCACTTTGACAGCCCCACCAACATTCGCGCTACTAGTGTCCACAGTCATGCTGATACTGCCAGCGTTCAAATCCATCTTCGAAAGTGAGGTCAGGGTCATTGCCTGCGAGCTCACCGACATTGCCTGCGAGTTCAAACTCATGGCTTTCACATAGTCCGCCGTCAACGAGTTCTTCGTCAGCGACAGTAGAGGTGCTCCA